AACGTTGCAGAATTACACGCGCACCAGAAAACCATTCCGTCGCAAACATCAAACCCATCCATCAGCGTCTCTGACCTAGTTTTCTCCCTCAGAGAGAAAGAGAGAGAGAGAGAGAGAGAGAGAGAGAGAGAGAGAGAGAGCAGGAGATAGATAGATAGATAGATAGCTAGTTCGAGAGTTAAAGATAGATATAGAGAGAATGACAATGAGAGAGAGAAAGAGAGAGACAAAGAGAGAGAAAGGGAGAGAGAGAAAGGGAGAGAGAGAGAGATAGAAAGAGAGAGAGGGAGAGGGAGAGAGAGAGAGAGAGAGAGAGAGAGAGAGAGAAAGAGAAAGAGAGAGAGAAAGAGAGGGGGGAGAGCATGACAAGGAGAGAGACAGATAAGAAGAGGGGTGGGGCGGGGGTAGAGGAAGAGGGGGAGTAAAGGAGGAGGAGGAGGAGGAGGAGGAGGAAGAGGAGGAGGAGGAGGAGAAAAAGAAGGAGGAGCAGGGCAAAAAAGGCACACATACAACGTTGCAGAATTACACGCGCACCAGAAAACCATTCCGTCGCAAACATCAAACCCATCCATCAGCGTCTCTGACCTAGTTTTCTCCCACACTCTCCGAACCAAATTTATCTTTCCTTTCCACATGCAAACAAAAGACTTGCCCATCTAGATCTATTACTATTACTACTATTAGTTCACCAAAAGTGCTACAAAGAAAATCTAACAATTTATCACCGCAAAATGTATTGTTCTGTACTGCAATAACGGCTATAAAATAACGCTTTTTTTGACCACAATAAATAGTACATACGTAAGCAGAGAGGGTTCGTTAATCAGAGGGTGGGAAAATACTAGTTATTTTTGCCCACGTTATGAATGAGTTTCTGTGTGACAAAATCTGACAGAAAGCATCCATTCACGGTGTATTGTGACATGTTTTCGACTGTTGCTATTTCGACAGCTCCTCTCCCTTCAGCAAACCCCTTCCTATACACACACCCACACATATATACACACATATACCCACACATCCACCCACACATATACACCCACACGCATACATCCACACATATACATACACATACACCCACACATCCACACGTACATCCATACATAAAAATACATACACCCACTCATACATATTATACATCCACTTGCCCCTCCCCCACCCACCCACACACACACACACACACACACACACACAAACACACACACTCACACAAACACACACCTTCACCCATCAGACAACCCTCACCTTGTTCAATTGCATATAATTTTATCTCGACTTCTAATTTTCTATTCTAAATAGAGTTGAATTTTTTAAAAGTCTTAAGTAAATGAATCATACAAGCGTTATTTAAGATAAGCCAATAACTCCATATACCCCAAAATTATTGTAATTTTACCCAAATCGGTTACTTCAGAATTACAAAGTTCTCTATGACTATGACATATTTTGTGAGACAGCATGGTGGAATCAGGCTCTCGTCAATTTTTTAACATGTAGAGTTATTGGTATCATCTTAAAGCTTATTCACTTGTCTTTATTTGGGTGGAAAAATATTCATTTATCTTTAATACAAGTTGATATTTGCGAATAAAGGAGGTGGGGGTCACCTGTTTTCAGAGGTAAAATTAGTGAGAAAATGGCCGCCAAAGATTAGTTATTTCCTTAGGTTAAGAGTCCGTGGTAACTGAATTTTATATATTTTTTTAACCTTTAACCAACGTTTTTCATAACAATCCACACAGAAATGAGTTCTTTAATGGGCATGAAAGGTATTGAGCCAAAAAACAAAAATTTGATAAAAGTTCACATACCTGCGGAAAAATGCAAGTTTCTTCACTTTGATTATTTTGACGAAAGCCTGATTCCATCACACTGCCTCACATTTTATCACGACTTCTAATTTTCTATTCTAAATAGAGTTGAATTTTATTTAAATCTTAAGTAAATGAATCATACAAGCTTTATTTAAGATAAGCCAATAACTCCATATACCCCAAAATTATTGTAATTCTACCCAAATTGGTTACTTCAGAAATACAAATTTCTCTATGACATTTTTATTTATATTTTTGGGAGGGGGAGGGCGGGGGGAGGGGCGGGACGTACTGAGTTACTAAGATCAAAAGGTCAGAAACCAAATGTACTATCTGCTCCCTGAAAATTGAAAGATTATTCGGAGTCCTTATCAAGATATTTAGAGGATTGCATTCGAAAAAACTTGACATGATGTGGAACTTTTTTACGTCAAATTTCTCAAAACTAATATAAAACTTTATAATTCTGTGTTAGCGGAATGAGGAAAAACGCCTGATTCCACCGTGTTGTGACCTAATTTCATAATGAATTTTAATGAGAGTAATATAACAGGATTTAAATGTTTGCCC